ATATATATATATATATAAATAAAAATAAAAGGTAGGGCTGGTTTCTGCAATCCTTACATTGAATAGTACCTAAATCCATGAGGAGTTTCATTCACTGAAGTCAAATTACTTAGGGCCAGATCCTGTTGCTTTTACATTGGGCCAGATTCTCCCATCTTTACTCACCTTGAGTAGTACGTGAGTCCTCAAATAGCTCCATTGATTTCGTGGAGTAGAGTACTACTCAAGGAGAGAATAGCCAAATCTGGCCCATCCTGATCCAGTCCCTTAGCAGTCATTGGGAAAACTCCCATTAACTTCAATTGGATTTTGATCAGGCCCTATGTCATAAGCCCAGCTGAAGGCTTGTTTTCATTAGAAAATTATGTCAAGTTAGATCATAACCTAAGGAGTTGCAATAACTAGCAAAACAATTACCATGACTTTTTTTAGTCTAATTAGACTGAAACAAGTTGTGTTCCACTTCATGTCAGTGGGTCATAGGCAAATCCTTCTTCCAGTTAGGTTTACCCAGGTGACATGGCATTAAACACAGCTTGTCTCTGTGCAGAGACACTGCACTGCCATAGTAAACTGTGTGTCAGTTAAGGCTGTGTCCTAATTCTATATAATCATCTAGTGAAAACAAGTGCTGATTATTTCATTTTCTGTGGTTGCTTATGCTCTGTGTATACAAACATACTTCAGACATGAAAAATTATGTCTGTTCTGAATTCCAGACTAAGAGAATACTGAGTATCAAGGAAAATGTTTTGTGGGTGGCTTCTTAGCAGTTGCTAACAGAGCACTTATTCTGCTGTTTCAAAATGAAAAGATACACTGATTTGCTAGTGGAATGAAGATATGGTGTGTGTTAAAATAATTCAGGGAGAATAGTATAAGACAATTTCTTGTAATGGTTGCAACTTAAAAGTGTGGAATAATAGTTTTCAGAAAGCTTTAAAGCTTTTCAGACAGAGGATTATCTTCTGATTTCAGTTACTCTGGTGTAATGCCAAAATAAGTACAGTGATTTTAGTGGAGGTCAGGTACTCCAAATGTACACTGGATTAACTGAACCTGGTGTACAATGTAGAGGATAACTAACTTAATTGTACAACTCTAGACCATAGGGGACATTTTTCCTCATCTCGAGTAGAGCCTGATCCAAAGCCCAGGGAAGTAAGTGGAAAGACTCCCCTTTATTTGAATCGGGGTGCCACAAGTACTCCTGTTCTTCTTGCGGATACAGACTAACACGGCTGCTACTCTGAAACCTACAGATGGATTGCGAAGCATGTGGATAGATTTTTTTGAGCATTTTAGGGATACTTTGTAAAGTGAACCTTCTCTTCAGGAAACAACAAGCACTGAACCTAAATGTTTCCTATTCAACTAAGCACATTGTCAATGAGGCACAAGTGCACATCATAGGAGTGAAGAAATAAATATATAAATAAATTGTAAGAGTCCCACAGCTGTGAATGTGGCAACAGTTCAGATTGCATCATGCATTCCCCCAAGAGACACTTTTGCACCTGTTTAGAGAAATCTATTAA